GGGACTCCTCCGGGTTTGTTAAAGGTACCAGAGTGGCGCTGTCCTCGGGCGGTTTGATTATAGCTTAGTATTAGATAGCGTTCGACTTTAGTTTTATCTTTTGTTCTTGTCTATCTTTCTGTAATCTTGTTCACGTGGTTTTTAAAAATAAAAATAAAATAAAATCGATCCTTTTCCTATTCCAGGGTGGCGCTGTCAGATTTGGCGGTTTGGTACACGATTTAATTTAGAATTACTTTAAACTTACGAATAGTTTGTCCCTGTAATTTGTATCGTGACTTTGTTCACATGGAAATTAAAAATAAAAATAAAAATAAAATCGATCCTTTTCCTATTCTTGTTGTTTCTTCTTCTTCGTCGGAATCTTTTCATTCTCCACTTTCTTCGGCTTTGAATTTTCAGCCCGTGGCGATTCCAGTATCGGTTTTTTCTCTCCGATCTCTCTTTCACCAGTCAAACGATTCTCATCCTTTAGTCTCGTTGTGAAATCATCATTGAGCGAGGTATATTCTTGCAAAATTTTGCTTTGTTCCGCTAGACTAATTTCACTAGCCAGGTTATCAATGAAACTCCAATATTATTACGAGTAAGGATACAAGCACCCCTTTTTTGCACTTAATGCCGGCCAAGATCCTCATAATTCTGGCCATAATAGTCATAATTCTGGCCAGATGGATTTTTTAATGATGTTTATGATTTTGCAAATATTATGAAACCTATCAGAGACGCTATTCTCATAGCTGGTTGTTGTTTTTCTTTGGCATGTCTTGGTCAATCGATTAACAAGATTCCTGATGAAAATGAAAATGCAAGGTTTCGTCAGCATGCAATAATGCGATAAAATCCTTCATTGAACGTTTTAAAATGTACGATTTTGATGAATATCTCTTTCATATTATTTATATTGTTCCTGGGTACAAAAGTAAAAAAAATGTTAATTATTTTTTAAAAATTGGCAACTAATAAACAGGTTTTGGTGTAAAATGTTCGAGTTCAAAGTACAGCTGCACGTATTTAGCAGCAAATGTCAAAGGATCCCAATATTGCTGCTTACCTTATAGAATATGTTTATTCAAAAAAAAAAGTCAGCGGAAACACTTCTAGCATAAATTGGCGAATTTCATTTACAACAGAATCATATAATATGCCATTCTCTTCACAAGTAAATACGGCCATTTAGTTGGTGGAAAATGTGCGCACCTACTCTCAATTAAATTGTTTTCAACGCAGCAAGTTGTAAACGGATTTGGTCAATCTGTGGATGGATGGTTGGTAAAACTAAGGAGAACAAAGATCCATTCCTATTATATTGCCAATAGTAAATCTGAGTTACCTAATCTTAGTAAAGATCGAACTGCTGAGGAACTTCGTACAATTTTGAATTATGCCCATCTTTGTGATGATGAAAGAATATGTTGATGATTATAACGAAGAGGAAATGATAAAGTTGGAGTCCACCTATTGATAATGATTGTGAACAGGTTCCATCTCAAGATTTGGAAATTATAAATGTGCTTGATTTGGATTCAATGGATTCAATGTTTAAGGATAAATCAAATAATATAACGGATAAGCAATTAGAATTAATGAATTTAAAGGAAGATGATTTTGATCCAGATTTATTAGTTCAAAAATTTAATTATAATTAATATAATAAGGTTTCGGTTATAAAGTGCTCCAAATCTAACAGTATATATAGTTTACCTAATTCTGAACTTCACACGTATATTATGAAATCAGCTGTAACCGGTAGTAAATGTCTTAACCGGTTAACCATCTTAACCGATTCCAAACTCTAATTTATTTATTGATTTACAGCAAAATTCGGACACTTGAGAAATTTCATTGTCGGGTAGCCGAGTTACTCGGGTAGAGAAAAGTATAAATAGCACGTGGCATGAGTATAATAGTGTATATTAAATAGTATATCAGATTATATATACCGTATAAATAAGATACTGAAACTTATTTACTTTGAGAAATAAAAATAAAAATAAAACCGTATAAATAAGATCCTATATAAATAATATACTGTATAAATATAAAGAATAGTGTAACATACGTTTATGTCCGTATATTTTGGATTTTGCTGTAATTAATATCTCACATTATTTTATTTTAGGTTATCACTAATTTAATATTCATTAAATTTTGTTGTAAAGTCACCATGGCATGAGGCATTTTTATACTGTATATACAGTACTAAACCGATTTAAAAGTGCAAAAAAGAAAGAAAAACATTTGTACAGTATACACGCAATATATTATGTAGATGTACTAGTTTCATTTAGACAGGCTCTGAGGCTTTACTTTTTATCTAGTTGTAGCAGTACAGTATTGAATACAAGTTTGCAATGTACAAATAGAAACATAGCGCAAATAACAATTGAACGTACGAATAGTATCTATTTCGCGAAATTAGAATAAATTAACTGTCGATACAATTCTTCAATCCGATTGCGTGTATGTATAAGTTCTCTCCATTTTAATTTAATATTATTATTATTATATCTTCACCACAATCTTTATTTTCTAGTTATCAACCAATCAAGCCATTTTTCAGCAATCAAATATTTTTCCTTGAGGTGGAGAAATCTAGAAAACTTGGTTTGTACCTATGAAAGGCTTTTTGTTTGTTTTATTTAAAAATTTTTTTTACACCTGGTACGTCTAAAATAAATTATTTTGTACAATAGTTTACTAAAAAAAAAAAATAATTTTTTCAATTTTCTGACAAATGATTGATATATATATTTTAATATAATTCACTATATTAAAAATTACTATATACAATTTAATTAATCGATAATTTAATATCGTGTAACATTTTTTTAATGGAAAATTAAATATTTTTTGTTATACATAATCAATTTAAAAAAAACAAAAATTCATTTGTTCGAATTAAAATAAAATAATAAAAATTAGGTGGTATTTGAAGGGATATTTCACCGAAAGGAAGTTTTGCCGAAATACCATTTCACCGAAACCCTATTTCTCTGAATCCTGACTTGTCATCGAAAAATTATTTATTCTATTTGGTTATTTTATTGTTTTTATACTAAATACATAAAGAAATCTTTCCTAGATAATTTTTGAATTAGATGATTTTTATTAAATTTACCTCGTTGTTTATAATACATTAATCTTTTTTTTTACTTACTTTTTCGTGAATAAATGTTTTCAGGAAAATAAAATTATTTATTATTGCTTACATTGCAATTAATATTAGTTACTTGAATGTTGAAGTGATAATATCCTGAAAAAAAAAAATCTCTAAAAATAATTTAATTATTATTTTCATTGCGCGTTGAATATTTTTTATAAAAATGTTAATCGCTACCATTTTCTGCGAAATGTCCATTTGGCGAAATGGCGAAATAGACGATTCGGTGAAATGGATTCGATAAAATACACTTTCGGTGAAACGTCCTTTCGGCAAAACGTCCTTTCGGCGAAACGTCCCTCGGTGAAATGGCTTCGGTGAATGGATTTCGGTGAAATGTACCGTAACTAAATTAGTAATATTTTGACTTTATTATTAGTTCAGAACTTATAATCTGAATTAAATATAACTAATATTTTTTTTTTATTTGTAATTTTAATTTTTATTTTGCAATTATTTAAATTAAGCTAAACTTTCAAGTTGCGGTCCAAATTTCAAGTTGCGGTTCAGTCTGACATGAACTTTTTATCAGTCCGGTCCGACTTGAGATTTTATCGCTTGACTTTGGCCTCAAGTCGAACTGAACCGGACTTTTAACAACATTACTTGCAATATTCAATATAAAAGAAAATGCGTTCCTTAATAATTATCCCAGATTCCCAGTGTTATATTACAAACATTTGTAAACAATTTACAAGGTTGCAAAAAAATTTTTCAATAAATTTTATAAATTAAGAAATAGAATAGAATAAACACCATAATAATATACATTTCAAGGTGAAGTTACTAGAAAAAACACGCAAAGAACTGTGAAAATATTATATTATTGCGATCTATTTTATCTGGCTTACATGGTTTGTATATACTTAGTGCCAAGTCGCACTAGCATAAATTATCAAATAGTAAACGCCTGATAAAAAATTTTTTTACATACATTAAATAAATTGGAAACTTTTATGTTACAATGAATCAAAAATTTCATTTGTCGGCCTTATATATACGACCCTGTAAAAAATATTATCCGTAATTTCTGCAAAAATATGATACATTTACGGAAGTAACATGAAATAAAAAAAACACGGAATAAATTTTTTATAGGGCGAATTTTCAAAAATTATAAAATTTCATTGCACTTTTAATTAATATAAAAATCCTTTACATGGTCAAAGACATAAACATAGTTTTTAGTTTTTACAGGTTCTCAAAATTAACGTTATTCTTTACGCCTTGAAATATTAATTATTACTATTTAACCCTCTCCATAAATAATTTAGCATAAAGACCTAGTGCTTACAACTTCACAATAAAGCACATTATTATACTAGGATTAACTATAACTAAATTTTTAAAGCTATGACTACTAAAATTTATTTATACTTTGAATAAATTTAATTTGTACCATTTTAAAATTATATCCTTGTTCTCATCATTGTCCGGAGCGAGGCGAAGGACTATATGTCTTACGCACTATGAAAAAGTGGATTTCTCTGTCCCTTCACGTGACATCATCCAATGAAATCGCAGATTTTAGTTTTATCTATTTTCGCTCCAACTAGTTATACACTTATCAGTTACCATCGATCCATAATGTCTTGTACGTACCAATAGCCTAGTTTTTGTGAAGATATCATTAGAGCTTGAATTTTTAATACAAACAAATATAAATTCTTCGTAATCAAATGTCTGTACATACAATTACAGCAACATGTTACACAATATTAAATATTTGGATTTTGTAATTTATAATTGCATCGGCAAAATTTCGTCCCGAATCATTCAATGTTTGACAAAAAAAAAAATTGTTTAAATATCGGTAACTTAAATAAATACGTAATTAGAACTTTCTTTAACGAACTATTAATGAACCATTAAAGATGAAAATTAATGACGAAAGTAAACTAATTAATTGGATTGAAGATGCTATTTCCAAGAGTCTTATTAGATATTATGATTATCAATATTTTAATGATATTCAAGAAGTTGGTTCTGGAGGGTTTGGTCAAGTGTCCCGTGCGAAGTGGAGAAAGAATGACCAATATTTCGCCTTGAAATCTTTTTTCAACCTAAACCACATTACTATTAATGAAGTAATTCATGAGGTAAATTTTCTTTTTTTCAGTATTATAATTAATTATGATAGATTTTTTTTAATATCATTCTCGTAATATTTTATTAGATCAAATTGCAACGTGAAGTAGATTTTCATGATAATATCATTAGATTTCTTGGAGTTACAAAACTCGTTTCAGGTATAATAAAAGAATAATTAAAATAATTTTTCCTTTTTTTTTAAAAAAAAAAAAAATTATTATATGCATAAAATTTTAATTATTTACAATTTTTTTTTTCAAAATAGAAAATAAAAAAGTGAAAGATTATTTATTAGTATTGGAATATGCAAACCAAGGAACTCTTAAAAATTATTTAAAACACAATTTCGATAATCTTACTTGGAATGATAAGTATAAATTGGCTCGTCAGTTAGCTTGTGCTGTTTTATGCTTGCATGATGAAGGAATTTTACATAACGACCTGGTAATTTATTAAATTTTTTTTTATAATATAAATTAAAATTTTTTTTTTCTATTTTCTTATTAACTCAATGAATTCTTTTTGTTTAATGTATCTATATATATAGAATTCCGCTAATATACTCGTCCATCAACATGATATTAAACTATCCGATTTTGGATTATCAAAAAGAATCAATGAATCATCTAAACTTTCTAAAGTATTTGGGGTAATTCCTTATATAGATCCAAAAAAATTTAGTGGTACACGTACACAAATATATAAATTAAATGAAAAAAGTGACGTCTATAGCCTTGGAATATTATTATGGGAGATATCAAGTGGTCATCCACCCTTTTCTAACGAACCATATGATCTTTGTTTAGCTTTGGAAATTTCGAAAGGTTTAAGAGAAGAGATTGTTCCGAATACATCTCCCCACTATGTCAAGCTTTATACTGGTAAAATGATCGTTAAATTTATTTTATCTTATTTTTTTCTCATTTAATGTTATCATTTATTAATTCATATATATTTGCTCTTAGAATGTTGGGATGGAGAACCATATAATCGACCAACTACAAGAGAAATAGTTACAAGGCTAAAAGATATTATTTCAGGAAATTCTCCATCGACGTTAAAAGAAATACCGATAATTAGTTTGAGTACTCCGGATAGTTCTCAGCATGGAGATTTATCAAAGTTAATCGAAGATTTGCATAAAATGAATACACGTGATTTGGACCGATTAGATACAAGTACGACCAGATCATTAAGTATTTATTATTCAATACCAGAAATGAAAATGAGTGAAACATTTAGTCATATAATAAGGCCAAATAATGAAGTAACCGAAAAGGATTTGGGTACGAATGTCGATGAAATAGTAAAATTTCATTTAAAATTATTAAATGAAGGGAAAGATTCAACTACAAGAAAGCGACATGTTCTCGAGTATCTTGAAAATAATGAAATTACTAAGGAAGAAATTTACAATTGGCTATTAAATAATCAAAATAATTCAAACAATATTTTTTTATTAGGATATTTTAATTTTGTTGGAACCATAAAGCCAAAAAATTATGAATTAGCATTTTATTTATTTATGCACGCTAATGCAGAAAAAGGGCACATATTGGCAATATATTATATAGGAGCATGTTATTTATATGGGTCCGGAATCATAAAAGATGAAAAATTGGCCTTTAAATTTTACAAAATCATTGCTAATGAAAATCATACAATTGGACAAACAAAAATTGGTTATTTTTATGAAAAAGGAATAGGTGTTGATAAAAATGAAAGAATGGCTTTAGAATGGTATATGAAAGGTCATAATAATGGAAATTATTTAGCAACTTATGATCTTGCCCAATGTTATAGATATGGAATAGGTGTTAATATAAATTATGAGAAAGCTTTTGATTTATATCAAAAGGCCGCGAACTTTATTCCTATGGCTCAATATGAACTTGGAGTAATGTATGAAAATGGTGATGGTACTATAAAAAATATAGATCAAGCAATTGATTGCTACACAAAATCCTTTGATCAAGGATATCAAAAAGCTCAAGTTAGATTAAAAGTACTTACAAAAATTAAGAATAGAAAGAGGAGTGATACGTGTAAAATAAATTAAATGTTTAATTGTCATAATTTATAAATTTTTTTTTTCGATATACTTACTACATGTAAATAATATTTATATATATATCATATATTTTGTATTCTTTTATATTATGTATTTTTTTATCAATAAATAAAACTTGTATCCAACTTTTGATTTTTTTGTGCATTCATTTTATATTTAAACACTCCTATTACTTAGTTTTGTAATATAAATATTTATGGTTTACACCGGATAAATCACTTATTCAGTACTTCGTGCCGAAAAACTAATCATAATTATTTTTTCTTTTTTTATTTTACTTCCTTATTTTCACCGAAGGATGTTGTCTTAGGGCGGCTTTTCGTTAGTTTTTTTATGCTCTACTTATAGGAATTATTTTATATAGTTTCTTGTAGACTGTACTAATGATGTTTCTTTCTGTGAAATAAAAATAAAAAATAAAAATTATGCATTCAAACCTTGCTGTATAAAGTATGAGATTTTTTTTCAAATAAGGTTTATATACTGCCTGGTAAGTTATCTATTAAAATAAAAAATAGCTTGCGGAATTATTGATTATATTCATTACAAAATATTTTATTTCGTTTTTTTTTCGCACAGAATAAATCTGTTATTCTTAAAAGTTTAGCATCAATCGTAATGACAGTGTTCGTCGTAACAGTTACAGCGGTTATTATTGATACTGGGCGAGGACCCCGAGCTATATATATAGAGGTAAGGTGCAGCCAAAAAAAATTACTATTAGCTCTACGCATTTTTTCAGGGCCGGAATTATGATAATGCCAGTCAGCGTCTAAAAAGGGAAATAAATTCCGGCCGGAATTATCTATAAAAGGAAAGATCTACATGATTATTTTGGTCAATTCTACGCAAACCTTTACCCTACCTTTTTATGTATAGCTCGGGGTCCTACTGGGCGCCGCAGTGTTGTACATGGGACATTGTCCGGCGATTTTTTGTGGACACGGAAATCAATGTCTGCGTTCATAATCCTGGCGATAAATAGCTTCGAAAGTAATATTCGAATATTTCGATTTATTTTTGAATTATCACTTTGATTCTCTTTTTATTTTATATTTCATTTTTAAAATGATGTTTATTTTATCAATTGCAATGGACATTAAAATCAATTTGTATTTAAGCTAAATCATAAATTATAAATTATAAAGAAATATTATAATTACATTAACAAATTCTTTATAAAAAATTTCAATTATTTTTTTGCGTTATCTTCTATTTATTATTTTATCACGTCATTTTCATACATACATATAAATATATATTTTTTTTCAAACTTTTGTTCCAAATAATAATTGTTTATTAACTTTTACAAAGAATATAGTATACTGTTACTATTACTACGCGTTTCACATGTAATAATTATTTATCACTTTTGTTGTCTATGTTTTATATTAATCCTAAGTGATATAATTTCGTTATGATTTAATTTATAGTTAAATCGAACTAAAATATCTTAATTTACGTTACATGAATTATTCTACTTGTTTGATCTCTTTTAATCTAATTTGTGCGTTTTTATGTCCTTGTTCAGCAGATTTTTCATACCAGTAAACCGCTTGATTAATATTTTTCATCACTCCATCTCCAATTTCGTATATGTTAGCAAGTTCGTATTGAGCTTCCATTATTCCTAAATTTGCTGCTTTTTGAAATAGTTCAAATGACTTTCGTTTATCAATACTAGTTCCAGTTCCATATCGATAACAATATGCTAAATTATCTATTCCAACTCCTAAATTTGCTGCTTTTTGATATAATTTAAATGCCTTTTTCTTATTAATCATAGTTCCAATTCCACCGGAATAACAATTTCCCAAAGCATTTATTCCTTCTGGGTATTCTCCTTCAGCTGATTTTTTATAACATTCAAAAGCTTTATTATAATCTTTATCAGTACCATATCCACATCTGTAACAATTCCCAAGATCATAATGAGCTATATTATTTCCTAAATCCGCTGCCCTTTGAAATAATTCAAATGCTTTTTGTTTATTAATATTAGTACCAATTCCTGAATAATAAAAATTTCCTAGTAAATCAAAGTAATTTGAATTATTTTGATTATCTAATAACCAGTTATAAATTTCTTGTGGCGTTGTATTTTGTTCTTCAAGGTAATTAAGAATTTCTTGAATTTCTTTCTTATTAATATGTTTATTAAGAATATCTTTGATTATTTTATCAGCTATTACACTAAAATTATTCTCAAATAAAATAGTCTTATTACTTGATGACGTTGATGATACTACTTCACTCATATTCATTTTATTAAAATTTTGAATAATTTGAGACATTTCTCCATATAATGAATTATCTATAGTATTATTTGTAACTTCATTAGTATTTGTAACTTCATTAGTATTTACATTAATTTGCTGATCACTCAATACTTGAATGTTCGTGCTAGAATCTTTCGAAATAATGACTTGCAATTCAGTAACAACCTGATTGATCGTTGGACGATTATCCGGTTCACCATTCCAACAATCTAAAGTTAAATTTTCAGTTAAAATATTGTTATTACAATTTATAATTAATATATAGTTATATTTACCCTTATAAATCTTTACATAATCTTCCAGTGTATTAGGTACAGGGCTTTCTCTGAGACCTTGTAAAATTTCCATAGCCAAACTAACATCATATGGTTCATTACAAAAAGGTGGTTGACCGCTAGATATTTCCCATAAGAGAACACCAATACTGTAAACATCGCTCTTTTCGTTTAATGAATATAATTTTATTTGATTGTTATTATTTCTTCGTCTAACAAATATTTTTGGATCGCTATACGGAATTATCCCGAATATTTTTGATTGAAGATTAGATGATTCTTCAATTCTTTTTGATAATCCAAAATCTGCTAATTTAATGATGTTTTGATGAACCAATACGTTATTAGAGTGCTGTTGTTAAATATTATAATTAAAATAATTAAATTATATGTATGATAATTTTATTGCACAATAACAATAAACGTAAAAAACTTATATACCAAATCACGATGTACAATTCCTTCATCGTGTAAGCATGACACAGCATGAGCTAATTGTAGCGCCAGATTTAATTTTCCATTCCAAGTGAGATTATTGAAATGTTCTTTTAAATAACTTCTTAGAGTGCCTCCGTTGGCATATTCCATTACTAATAAATAATTTTTTGAATTGCCGTTTTGAAAGATTTCTTGTAAAAGAAAAAAAAATAATATTTATTTAAACTTCATATTTTCATTTAACAAATGACATGATATTAAAATGTAAATTATACCTTGATCAGAAGTTGTAATACCACAAAAACGAATAATATTCTCATGAAAATCAACCTCACGCTGAAGTTTTAACTAAAATCATGAATTTTAAATTAGAAATATAACGTACAAAAAAGAAAAAAAAAATTTAGAATAAAAATTACCTCGTTGACAATTTCTTTTGCTGTGGCATTGTTGAGATTAAAAAAAGATTTTAATGCAAAATATTTATGAGAATTTTTCCAATTTGCACGATAGACTTTTCCAAAACCTCCTGAACCAACTTCTTGAAAATTATTAAAATATTTAAACTCGTAATATTTAAAGTAATTTTTGGTAATAGCCTCTTCAATCCATTTAATCCATTCATTTGAATTTTCAGTATCATTAAATTCGATGTTATCGTTCATTATTTGAATGTAGAGAAAGAGTAAAGAGTTACAATAATATGTATTACAGTGCGTTTAAATAAATCATGCATGAATAGTTGTCGATCATTTATCATGTGATATTAATTGACCGAAAATTTGCCCAACATTATGTTGTACCAAATTCGAATAATGTAAAATCAGTAAATTTTTTTTAGGATCCTACAAAGCTTTTTCCTTTCAAATCTCAAATCTCTGGAATTATATTTGAATATATTTTTATGGGCATGTTACAGAGCAGTCATTTTAGCTTTTTTTACTAGGATTTTTTTAGCAGCCTGATGAATTCAACATCTTTATTAACACTTAAATTTCTTTAATATTATAATTTAAAGATCGTAAAGAATGAGGTTTATTAAACCCTTTACCGAATGAAAGTACAAGAATGTGATATCCTTTCTTCTAAAATTGTTAAATAATATCGGTCTATATATAATGCGGTACGTTAGCAATAATTTTTTAATTCTCAATATGATATCTATTATTATTGATATTTAAAAAGTATGTAAGATGTGTTTCTATTTTAGCTTTGAAGAAAAGAAATTTTGATGAATCATAGAAATATAGAATATTTCTTTTTGTTTACAAAAAGATTAGATTTAATAAATGATAAAGAACAATAAATAATATTATAGAATTGTATGTAATCAATAGAGTTTACAAAGTAATATATTACAAGAACTACTAAATTTTTGTTTTGACGAATTTCGACAATAACGATACATAATTTTTTTTTAATTTGTTTTATTTATAAATCATCCGTTCAAATTGAGTTGTGAATTGTGACATTCTTTTACTAGTAAAAAAAAAATGAAATTTTTTAATTATCAATTTAATTGAAATATATAATTGTAGGAAAATTTTTAAGATAATGAAAACTATAAATCCTAATTATAATAAATTAAGCATCTTAAAAAAAAATAAACGAAAAATTATTACCATTCATTCTTTTCCTCCTTAAAATGTCGAAATAAATTGAATAAATTGGGATTTGGGAATATGTTATTATTATCAAAATAAACAAAGTTACGCCAAATTACCCATTATTACCATTATGGTTATAACTTCTACTACTTTAAATAAAGATTATATAGTAAATAACTTTCTATTTAATTATTACTGCGTATATTAATCGTTTCAATAACAAAACAGTTTCTAAAATTAAAAAAAAAACATTTGCTTTCATATCGAGTAAATCCAAAGAAACTTTGTATCGTTACATTAATACCTCATGTTTCTTTACGTCATCTAATAACAAAATATCAAAGTAATTTCATATCTTATATATCTTATATACAATAAAAATTGATCTTTACCTATTTAAAAGTAATAAGGGTGTTTGGCAAGTTATATTACGCGTTTCTCCAAAAATTTGATATATTATAGTAAGTTTATTTATTAGATAAAATATTGATAATACTTCACATGTTAAGTATGAGATTAGAGATTAGATACTGTAATATCGTTGACTTTATATGAGTAATAATGCAAACTAACATATCTTATCGATACGCAGTAAGGCAGTATATTATAATCAGTATACTTACACCTGCAAATTTTCCATATAACTTTATAGATAGATTTCAGTATACTTTTTTTATTGTCCGAAACATAAGCGTAGCACACACTTCAAATCCAAATTAGGGAATATTAAATCTAGGATCTTGTGTAACTATCGAAATTTCATTTTTGTTATGTATATCACGCGTGTTTAATTTATTTAAGCTAAGTACACTAGTAAACTCAAGAGCTGAACTTATTTTTTCGGTAATGTATACATACGATAAAAATTTTATACTAAAACCATTGCTAAACTATATATTAAAAATAAATTTATCTTGAATAAAAATTTTAATAAATTTTATTTTAATTAACAATAATAAAAGCTTTAATAATATGGGAATATTACACAATATCATATAATCTTTAATTATATGGTTTATAGGGAGTAAATCAAATCAACTATCATATTATTCATCATTAAATCAATTAATATTACTAGTTTAGGTTAAATAACTTATAAATTAATTGTGACTCATAGATAATATAGATAATCTTGATTTTTTTTATCTATTTTATTATTAGTCACTATGTATCTATGGTTTTAAAAAATATATAAATACCCTTAATTTCCTCAAGAAAAAAATCAAAAACCAAATTTCAATATTATTATTTTTCAAATCTTACAAATCTTACAAAACTTTTATCAATCACCTAAATTTCAATTCAAATTTTTAACTTGCAATTACAAAATGTCTTATCATTTGTGTCCAAATATTGTTAATACTATTTTAAATGAATTTCCTATCAATAAATGTTACAATCACCCTCAACCTATCATTGAAACTTCTCAACATAATTTACCATTACTTACCGGATTTTTTTACATTCTTTTTATAATTCTCCTCATACATACCAACATTCTCAATAATGCAATTGTCCTAATTTTCCACTTATTGAAATTCATGTGCACTATAATCTTATCTCTTTCTAATCTCCCTACTCTTCATTTCTCTAATATATTTCATTCTTTTGAACATTTATTATTATCTATATTATTATCAAATCTCCTTTATCTATTATATATATTATTATCCATTCTTTTTCATTTTCTTTATTTACTTAACTGTATAATTCATATTCTCATCTTTTCTTATTCTTTACTTTATAGAGTAATCTATTTAGTAAATATTATTATCCTTTTAATTTCTCAACAATTTAATTAAATAATCTTATATTACGTAGCTTGGCCCATTGCTTACCAAATATAGCATGGAGACGTAATCTTTCCCCTTTGGTCAACTTGGGATTTCTTGACCATTCTTAGATAGATAATTTTTACAAGGGGATCGTTTGCATCGCCCATGAAGCATTGCACAAAGCTAATTGGTGTCAGAGAGATACTTTGTCTTGTAAAAATTTACCCTTTCTTGATCATTTGACCATTCTTAGATAGATAAATTTTATAAGGGGATCGTTTGCATCGCCCATGAAGCATTGCACAAAGCTAATTGGTGTCAGAGAGATCCTTTGTCTTGTAAAATTTACCTTTCTTGATCATTTGATCTATCTCATGTGATTTCCTTCTTCACATGTGATACCCTTTATTTCATTCCTTTGTCGAGTTCTTTCCTTAATAACTTATCAACTCAACAAAAATCCATCACCGTTGGTTCCACAATTTCTGTGTCCAAGTTCAATTCTTGGAGGTGATTTTCTTATTAATTAGTTTATCTTCTTTTTTTCTTCTTTTATAGGGAATTCCAGACGAAAATTACAAATTAGATTTTGGGGAAATATTATTTAACAAGATGTAGGTGAGGTATTTTCATATTTTTATAGTTCTCGCCACTACTGATAAGTGTCTCCCAATGCTTTACCTCTCAAACAAGAAATTGTTTTTTTTTCCGCGTTAAAGTAGGTGTTCGCAAGTCATTACGCAAGGTACTGTATTTTTAAATAACTTTGAGTATCTTTGATTTGGAACGATGTCAAAAAACTTTCTAACAAAGCTTATTTCATTAAAATATTTGAAAGCATAGAGGCCCTATAAAAAATTTTATCCGTTATTTCTGTAAAAACTCCGTGAAAATGAGCCTTTCACGGATCCATTCACGGAAAATGCAAATAATTCGATAAATTCCGTGATATAAAGTTATTAATTCCGAAAATATGAGCCTTTTACGAAAAAAAGATGGAATAAAAAAAACAAATTGACTTTTTTTACAGGGAGGAAGTATTGAGAAAGGTGGAGTCTCGCTGAACAAAATTGAAAGACAAACTGTTCAAAAAAATCGAACTGGAAAATACAGGGGAAAATAAATTATTTTTCAAGTGCCTTACTAAAAAAATTCATTCCAGTCTCTATTCTGATTCTCTTTTACCAATCAAAAGAGTTTATAAGTGGAAAGGATAAGAGAGAAATGGAGGAAAGGAAGTATGTGAACAAGAGTGGAAAGAAAAAGTAAGAGGCGAGAAGGAAGAGAGATCTCTTCAGACTATTCTTTTCTATGGCAATTTTTTTTTTGTGCTCAACAAACTAAAAATTCCAACCTGAATTTTTCTGACAGTACCCAATGACCTAAACGTACAGTCCTTCTCCAGACCATACTGATGACTTCCTGGAAGCAGGACCGTCAAAGACTTAATCTTCGATTTTATTTCTTTTTATTTTTTTTATTGTTAATTTGTTATTAATCATAGTGAGTCAAATTACCCTTTAACTAGTAGTGTAGGTTTCACAGTACGAATAACTTGAGTTATGGACGTTTCGTCAACAAGAGTTAGCTGTGATTAGATTTTAAATGTAAAATAAACACTCAAATTTAACATTTTTATTTATTACTAAGACAACTTCATTGTAAAAAATAACAAGCAAAAAATATACTTTAATCCCATTACAATCTTTTACAGAAATTTCTCATGCAACGACAAGTCAATTTTGTGAAATTCAATTTCATTTAAGTAATTTTTTTAGGACAAATTAAAGAACAATAAATCTCAGTCTAAGTATCAAACAATAAATAAAAAACCATTGCGGGCACGGTATTGTGTTTAACGACTCATAATAAATATTTTTATGATAAATTAACATTATATTTGATATATAATTAAGGGGATAAAACCTAAGCCTAACTTTTATATTAATAAACGAAAAACTAAAAATTAAAAAAAATTCTTAATTTATTTTACATGAACTATGTTTCTTCCTAATCTTAAATCTTTTTAATTTATTTTGGGCATCTCTATTTCCTTGTTCAGCAGATTTTTTATACCAATGATATGCTTTGTCCATATCTTTATCTATTCCGTCTCCAATTTCAAACATGTAAGCAAGACGGCATTGAGCTATATCATATCCTAAATTTGCAGCCTTTTGATATAATTCAAATGCTTTATGTTCACTAATATCAGTACCAATTCCATATTGATAACAATATGCTAAATTACCTATTCCAGGTATACTTCCTAGATTTGCTGCTTTTCGATACAATTCAAATGCCTTTTCCCTATCAATACTAGTTCCAATTTCATTATCATAACAATTTCCCAATTGTGCTATTCCTTCTGGGTATTCTCCTTCAGCTGATTTTTTAAATAATTCAAATGCTTTGTTATAATCTATATTAACACCAATCCCATATAAATAACAATTTCCAAGATCATATTGAGCTATATTATTTCCTAAATTTGCTGCTTTTTGAAATAATTCTATTGCCTTCTGTTTATTAACGTTAGTTCCGATTCCAGAATAGTAAAAATTACCAAGTAAATCAATATAATTTGAATTTTGTTGATTATTTAATAACCAACTAAAAATTTCTTGTGGTGTTGTATTTTGTTCTTCAAGATAACTAAGAATTTCTTGCTTTTCATTACTACGCATATTAAGGATATCTTCAATTATTTTATCAACTATTACACTATAATTTTTATTCTCATCAATCTTATTTGTTTGATCATTTGATGGCATTAATGATAACATTTCTTTTGTATTCATTGTACCAAATTCTTGTATAATCTGTGACAATTCTCCATGAAATGAATTGTACATATTACTTTTAGGTACTTCGGCAGTATTTGTATTTAGCAGATGTTTACTTGGTCGAACAGTTGTATTAGGATCTTTTGCAATTATGGCTTTCAATTCGGAAACAACTTGTTTAATAGGTGGACGATTGTCGGGTTCACTATTCCAACAATCTAAAGGAAAAATAAATTTTAGTTAAAGTAATATTATCGCAATTTAATAAATAAATTTATATTTACATTTACCTGTATAAATATTCATATAATTTTCGGGTGTATCAGGAATAGGGTTTTCTCTGAGACCTTGTAAAATTTCTATGGCCAAACTTTGATCATATGGTTTATCATGAAAAGGTGGATGACCGCTGGATATTTCCCATAAGAGAATACCAATACTGTAAACGTCACTCTTTTCATCTAATGAGTATGATTGTTGATTGTCATCATTTCTTTGATTAACCAATACTTTTGGGTCAACATAAGGAATCACTCCAAACAATCTTTCTTGATAATTGGTCATTTCTTCAATCCTTCTTGATAATCCAAAATCAGCCAGTTTGATAGTGTTTTGATGGACTAGTACATTATTGGAGTGCTATTATTCAATGTAAATAATTAATTAATTAACGTACTTATGGCAAATAAAATATAAATAATTTACCAAATCTCTATGCACAATCCCTTCGTCGTGTAGACATGATACCGCATGAGTCAATTGGAACGCCAGTTTTAACTTTTCATTCCAAGTGAGATTATCAAAATTCTCTTTTAAATAATCTCGAAGAGTGCCACTATCGGCATATTCCATAACTAATAAATATTTTTTTGGATTATCGTTTTGAATTTCTTAAAAAAAAAAGAAAAGAAAAGAAAAATTATTTTAAAAATTTCGTTAGCTAATTATAATAATATGATATTAAAATGTTATCATACCTTGATCAGGAGTTGTAATACCACAAAAACGAATAACATTCTCATGGAAATCAACTTCGCGTTGAAGTCTAAGCTAAAATTATAAAGAATATTAAATAAGAATGTAACATCGTATATTAGTATATGTTTTATGTGTGTATAGATAAATTATAATTACCTCGTTGACAATTTCTTTTACTGTAGCATTGTTGAGATTAAAAAAAGATTTTAATGCAAAAAATTTATCAGAATTTTTCCAATTTGCGCGATAGACTTTCCCGAACCCTCCGGAACCAATTTCTTGAATATCGTTAAAATGTTTATATTCGTAATGCTTAAAATAATGTTTTGTAATAGCCTCATCAATCCAATTAATCCATTCATTTGAATTTTCGGTAGTATTTAATTCGATATTATTAGACATTATTGAGTTTTGTAAAAAATTTAATATTTTTCAAAAAAAAAAAGAGGGAAGAGAAGAAAAAAAATTTCCAACCGTATTACATACGTTTAATGTCTATTTATGTAACTGACGATCAATTAACAGTACACAAGTGTAATATGAAACTAACACAGAATTTTGGACCGCACACATATATATTTTTTGTTTTAAGCCCGCGTTTCGTTGATCCCTGCTGCAAAAAGGTGACTATCATATTCTTAATATGGTTAATATGGTATAGTAAAGTTAGCCGGTCTATTGACCGGTTAAGACGGTTAAGGCTAAGGGTAATTTAACCGTTTAACCGGCTAAGTTGTCGTTAAAATTGTTTTAAAATCATCGATAACTTAATTTTTATTAATTTTTTTTTTTTATATTCAGTTATTTTATATAATAAAACTACCCCTCAAATCTTCAAGTGTTAAAAACTTAAAGTTATAAATTAGGTAAATATTATAAGATTTGGATTTTCGTGGTACATAGTAAATTCCGGTCAATTGTCAATGCCAGCTAGAATTAAGGTTTAACCGGCCAATTAACCGGTTAACCGGTTAAAGGATCGGGCAATCTTTTGGACCGGATCCAAACTTTAATCCATATTTATCATTATTTTTGCAAAAATCTTTTCTGATATTGGAAAGTAAAATAATGATGGATTAATTGCATATTAAACTATAGTTAATAATATACATGTTGCTGAAACTCAGTAATTTCGGCATAATTTCAGGTTTCGGTTTCGGCCAGTCATTCTCGAAACTGAAAACGCCGAAAGTTGAGATTCAGGATCGAAATTTTCTGGCCATTATGAATTTTGTGTAACATTTGTGTAATACAAAATTCCATTGCAGGCGTGAATAGCATTCTCACCTGGTGGCTAAACTTTTATCCCGTGTCACGTGATATATGGTTCTGGCCGGCACCACAAATTTGACCAGAATTACCAAATTTACCAAATAATTTCGGCCATGTGCTTAAATTTCGGCCATATTTTCGGAAAATTTCGGCTACATGTATAGTTCATAACATGTAAGGAACGTATTTAACAAAATTTACTGTAAATTTAAAAGAATTTCAATAAAAATAAAGATATTATTTTAAACGGAAAATTATATAGTATTTAAATGTTAAAATAATGCACAATATTTCAAGATGAAAATTTTCTTTTAAGATATTACTAAGTGAATTCTATTTCAGATTTCAATTTACGTCAGCCCCAATAGTCTCAGTATTTCTGGTAGTTTCGCATTTTTACCTTTATCGTACTTGAAAAAAATTAGGATTAGAAGAACCAAGAGAATCAAGTAAAAGTTTACGAGACCCCATGACAGGTTAATTTAAATTTTTTTTTCATTCAAGTTCTGATTTCTGAATAATACGAATAATTTACAACACAAAATCCGAAATTGGTATATTTTAATTATTAGTGACTATCGGGTACCAGCATATTCTATTCGAATATTTTTTTATTTCATTTTTAAAAAAAATTCATAAATTAGATATTAATTATCATATTAAGTGTAATATATAATGTATATAATGAAAATATATTATAAATAGTTATTGTTATATGAATAATTTCTTAAATTGTAGTGATATTCAATTAGAAAGATCTTAATTATAAGAGTCTGAAATAAGCGTGTCCAGCTAAACACGACGGATGGCAAGTCTAAATTATAATAAATTTTGAAGCAATAATTTAATTTATCCCGTCAATAATATCAATTTATTAGTGATTTTTTTTCAGCTAGCAAATTTGACTACGTGTATTACTTAATAATGATTTTTTTTATAGTCGCCAAAACTCAGAAATTATTAATAAAGGGAATGACGCTATTACTACTTATATTATTACCCGCAAATAACATTATAGCTGATAAACAAATTTTACTATGTTTATTCTTATAGGTGGTTTTCTGCTTAGTTCGGATAATTAACAAATCTAAAATGTAATTTGATAATTCCACACACGTATCATTTGTGTATTAGTAAAACTCAATATGAAAACATTAACATATTTAATTAAATTTTGTTTAAAAACAAAACAAAACAAATATACAAAAACCTACAGATGTTGCACCAATCCCAATGGCATATGTTATCTACTCCATGTGACCGTTGTTGAATATTTCAATAATATTAAACTTCACTCACAAATCCAAACGTACGCTAGAGATACCAGCTTATTTAAAAAAATTACGTTGAAATTTGTTAATATTATTGTCATTTCTATTTATTCCTCATGTGAAAGAAAATAATTTGCTTGTAGAAAGAAAAAGGCCGAGATTAAAAAAAAAAACAATGGAATTTTCTACGTAATATTATTAAGTTTTATTTTTTAATTATTTGGGTATATTTAACATTCATCATAGAAGCTTATAGGAGTTAAAATAAGCGTCATTCTCTTTTTAATCACGGTTTATAGGTTAAAAAATAAAATTTTTTATGACTATTTAGATGGAAACTACAATTTTGATAAAATTTGTTGTAATATTTTATTATACCATATTATTTATGAGCATTGTAATTTTTCAAGATAAACATTTGAAATTAATATAATGTTAAATTTAATCACTTGTTCTCAGAAATTTATAAAGTTGGATACTAGCAGAAAATGTATGAAATTATAGAACAAGCGGATATTGATATATATTTATTTTTAAAAAGATCATAAAATGAATAAATAATATTCTTTGATTTAGTTATCAAGGTCAAGAATAATTTCTTTAGGACAAGAAATAATATTAATTTTTAAAGTCGAAAAGTAGTAATTATGATTGTCCTTGCACTAACTCACTAACTGCAAATTTTTTTTTTAGCAACCATGTCTAAAAGTGTACCATTTGTCCGCAAATGGTCTGATGCTCATTCTGAACCACAGTACTTTAATACCCAGGAGGATCTTGAAAAGCACGTCTTTCGTGATCACGTAAAGTCAACTGAATTATCGTAAGCTTTGAGAAGAGTCCTTTGGTTCCTTTAACTTTCTCTAAGTTTTCTTCTTATGACAGATCTTTTATTCGAGTTTATCGATGTATCTGGGAAGGTTGTAAAGAGCAACTGAGTAATATTACTAAGCTAGAAGGTATGAAAAAAAATATTCTAAGTATTACAACAATTATAATAAACTAGTAATCACATTCTCGCAGTGCATTTATGGGATCACACTAAATAGAAGCCAAAGCCACTTAAGGTGGGTTTAAACCTGTTTTTGCCCGAATTGATCACGTTGAATTTATTTCTTTCGTGTTTAGTGCCCAATCTGTGATCATTCGCGTCAATTTTGAACTACATCATCACTTAATTTATCGCCATAATGATAGCGTTATGGATTACGCAGGCGCAAATTATATGACGAAACATGAAAATGGTACTTTCTATTCATTTTATATATTAAAATTAAAATCCTATGATATGTTTTATCACTTTTATGTAATTTCTTTGAAGATTATAAACGTGATGATAATCGTTATTATGGTAAAAGCAATGATGAAATTATATGGGAAACACTTTGGTGCTATTATAATGATCCGAAGAAAGTTGTAGTGTAATTTAATGCTATTAAATATCATGATGAAGGTAATGATTTTTCATTTTTATTACATCCTTGGATTAAATATAACATTTTTTTTTTTTTGTTTCAATTCTTTCCGCAACGCTGTAATGCAACTCTTAATACTAGAATTGAGTGACTGATTTTTAAATGATGATTTTGCCTCAAAACTATGAAAAACTATGACTTAGAGCAAGATAATTTTTTTCGATATAATTAATATATTTGGTCTATACATTTTTCGACTGCAATTTTGCACTTAAATGACATCATTTTACTTTGCTATATCCAAACGTTTGAGTGCTATATCTTTAGTATATGGAGTAATTTTTTTCCACTTGTCTTTATGAACTATAGCATTTCGGCGTTTTTTATAAAGACCAATACTTAATAATTCCATTCCTCTGCTTTTTTATGCATTCTATTAGTTTTATATTCAATTTTATCCTTGAATAATTTCTTGATATTATTGAATTGATCTACTTCGTCCAAACCTTCATTAAATCTCATTAATAAACAATCGTAAAAGAAAATTACTTTCAACCCAAAGGACAAAAAGCGGTTGAGAATGTTAAGAAATGGCCTGAAAAAATCATGCTATTAATTTCTCATAAATAGAAATGCTTTAGTAAAAGCCTACCCAATTTTACGGCTACTGATAGAGTTATAGATGAATCTAAATTAGTTGCAACTTTTGCTATTATGAGATGAGATTTTCCACATAATCCAAAAGATTACGAAATCAATATTAATTGGGTCGAAGGGAAACAAACAAAGAATAACACTCATCGTAGTCCAGAAGATTTGGTATTCCATTTCCAACAATTAAATATCTTATCTTGACTCAAAAAGTGGTAAATCTTCAAAACCAGATATACCAATCATAGGGATGATTACGGTTCACTAACCGATGACTCGAACCTGAGCCGGTTCATAGGTGGTTCGGTTCGGTTTGGTTCGCGAGTAAACCAGGTGAACCATCGACTCAATTGATTTTTTTATAGCATTTAGATCATCTAATTAATGATAGTCAAAATTTAATATTACTTACCAAAGCTAATTTTGGATTTCCAAAACTAAAACACTCTGGTCGAAATTTCCGAAACTGGCCGAAATTACCAAAACTTAGCCGAAACTTCCGAAACTTGGCCAAAGCTACCGAAACTGGCCGAAATTATCTGGAAATCACGTGGTATTCCATTTGTAACACATTTTCGGGTTTTGTAAGATACAAAATTTCCTTTTTTGGAAATTAGTGTAACATCACGTGACATTAGTTAACTCCGGCCAGAATTACAGAATTTAGCCGTGAGTCGATGGTTCACCCGGTTCACTCACTCACTCACGAACCGAGTCGAACCGCCAATGAACCGAACCGGTTCGGTTCGAACCATGAGCATCCCTAACCAATCATAAATAATAATGATATTAAATTGCTTTGTACTAATTGTTTTACGAAAGATGAAGCTACTCTTGCAAATTTTTCCTCCTAAAGAAGCTTCAATTACTCTTAATGGAAATTTTCTCATGAACCTTGATTTACTCTTGAAGCTTCAGCAGAGGAAATAAGTGTAAAAATTCTTCAGCTAAAAATTCTCTTATTGTAAGTACTAGTATGGGTCCTTTTAAAACAACAGGTATATTAGGTCCTGAAATTGATCTTGTTGCTGCAGCTGATGCTAGTGCGGAAATAACGCCATATCTGCTGATTTGTGGAATTTACAATAATCGTCTTTTAGTTAATAATAAAAATTTTAAAAATGGATAGACAATACTATCACGTGCATAAATATTTGCAATAAATGTACGTGAAATTTTCGTATGTTTTTGGCATCCTATTATTTAAACCAGATAAAATTATGCTTAATTGAAGGCTCTATTTAAACAGAATCTAATAATAATATTTCATAGAAATAAATTTTAATTTTAGTTGAGATTAATTTTTGTAATATATTGTTTATTATTTCAAAAAAAATTATTTTTTCTGTAACTTATGATTCAAATAAAGTGAAATTATACCAAAATAAAGCTTTAAATAAGTTGATTCTAATAATATTAAAATAAACATCATTATTGATAAGGAGTTACAAAAGATCACATAAGTTTCCCACCGCCAGATTTTCGAATAAATAAAATTTGTCTAAGTTTAAAATAAACTTTATTATTACTTAAAAATTCTTTAAATTATGATATAAAATAAATAGTAGATAAATAAACAAATAAAATCATACCAAGTTTTGCTTTAGATTCTAAGCTTTTACACTTTTTTTTACAATTTTACTACTCGTTAAAAACTTTTAAAAACAAATAAAATATTCAGTTATTATATTTAATATACAAGTAACACGAATGGTGATATGCCACATTCTGTATCAGTTATTGTTATTAACGCGTGAATTTTATTTGATGATAATGATGATGTATCCGTTGTTGTTGTGTCTTGTACTCCTGCATGTTTCTTATATTGATTAGATAATGATGAATACGATAATGATGCTAATGAAATTAAGATCTTCGTAAATTTCATGGAATTCCTATTTAAAAAAAATATATATATTAATAAACTCGAATAACGTTTAATTAAGACCATTCCAATTTAACTATTTGCTTAGCGTCTTATTTTTTTAAAAAAAAAAAAAATTGAGGGGAAGGAGATGTTACGCTCTCACAAAAAAGTGAAGTGGGATAGACATTAAACAAACAATCAAGTTGGAACGGGGTTGAGTCAATCCGTTATATCTGTTATTGTTACACTTACGCTCTAATTTTCGTATAATTTGGGTAAAATCCAGAATTATACCTCACAAGCTTATCTCATATAAGATCAATAACTGATAAACTACGACTCAAATAAAAAATAATAAATTTACCTGATAATCTAAATAATTAGTTTAAACAGATTTTTTTTTTCTTTTGGAAAGTAATGTTTTATTTTCATAACTTACATTCATTTTAATGCACCATCTTCAGCCATAACCCACCAACGAGCATCTCTTGGTTCAACGTCAATCATAAGTAAAACATCATCAGCTTATTGGTGTGGAGATTAATAAATCATATACGCAGTATTATTATTTCCCATTAATAAATTTTCCTCATCATTGTTATTTGTTATTTTATTATTATCATTATATATAGCGGAAACCATCTGTTGACCCACAAAACAAACTTCAGATACTTCTAATAATTTAACTAAATCAATTCGTTCCTCCCTTTTTCTTTTTATTATTATTTCTATTTACTATTTTATTATCATTGTCTTTTTCATTTAATTTCTTTGGTTAATTGGATCTTCAACGTAATCTTGTTTTTCACTTTCTAATTTCGCAAAATCTAATACACTATTAATAATACTTATTAAAGAAGTTCCACAACCTTGTATTGTTTTAACCAATTCAGCTTAAGCTTCATTTAATTTGCTTTCTTCCATTAATTCACAACTTGCTAAAATACCATGAAGAGAAGTTCTTAATTCTGAAATACAGAAGAAATGAATGCACCTTTTGCTCTATCGGCAACGATAACCCTTCTTTTTGATACTTTACTAACAACATTTACGCCAAAAATTGCTCAAATCAACACGTTCTTCATCTTCAAATCGTTTTTGTGAATCATTGTCATAGCGATTAAAAAACCAAAGCATTTTATATACCATCATAAATCGGTACAACAATACCGGAATGTACATAATCAGGAAAGAGGGTTGAAAGAATTTTGATAAATACAACCTTGTGAATGAGCCTAAATAAGCGAAATAAAAAGTGATTAAAGAAGCTTTTACAGCTTCAAAAGATAATTAACTTCACCAGCACAAGCGAGAGATCTTAAATGATTTGGTGATATATCAGGAAGCGGAGTATCTACTTGAAGTACATCTAAATAATTTAACTGCCATGTTAAAGAATAGGATCACCAAAGTAGATTTACCTTATTTTCATCGTTATTAAAATTATTAGCTAATTGAATTTCCAAACAGAATTTGCTAAATTCAGCCATACTCTCTTCAGTCTCTTGCATCTTATTTCTTACACGTAAACGTAAAATACTATTAGATCATAATTCTAATTCTCTCATGACAACTTTAGCAAATTCTTTTAAACTTTCACGATCCTTTTTTGAAGAACTATCCCTAGGTTCACGATCGATCACACATATCGTATTACCATCATCAGTTCGTAAAGGGGCACCAGCATAAAATCTTATAAAAAGGAGAATCAGTAACTAAAGGATTATTACAAAATCTCCAATTTTTACTAGTGGTATCACAAATGGTTCGTCATTTTCTTATAATATAGCACGATCACAAATACTTATTTCCCTAGTAGTTTCACTACATCCCACACGACGGGTCGGAATAAGAAAAAAAAGTTGTCCATCTTCAGCTTTAAACCATTGATGAGTCGTATTGAGAAGTGATATCACATCGATATTGAAGTCTTAAAATGTTCTTTTGATAATGTTACTATACGAATAAAATTAACACCATTTGATGTATTAAGTATTTAAAATCTCTATAACGCTCTTCTACGTTCAACTTCATTAGGAGGATGAAAAGAGGAAGGCAATGATTATTATCTAAATTATCATCATCATCATCGTAATTACTTTCATAATTACCATCTACTTCTTCAGATAAACATTTGTTTTGTTCACAATCATCTTCAAGACCTTTAATAAAAGAAGTTATGGCATCAGCTTCAGCAGTACTAGAATTAAATAGGATTAAATTTTCCTTGAGCATAATTATAAAGGAATTCTTTCCATTCATCAGTATTATATTGATCAAATAGTATATCGGAATCAGGGAAGGTAGCTAATAATGAATATCAACTTCACTACTACTAGATGATAATACATTATCAATAGAAGAAATTGTTTTGGAAAAGGTTTAAAACGAAATATCGCACATTGTTGTTTTATTGTTGTTATTGTTCGTGATAGAAAATTTTTCCTTTATTAAAGTTTTCCATTCCACATCTTTTATAATATTTACTTTGATTCGATATTAAAATCGGTAACGCTATAGATTTTCTATGAACAACGTTGTTATCGTTATTATTATTAATTCCTTGTATAGAATTTGAAATTTCTTTATCAAATTTGTAAGATTTAAATATAGAAGTATCCAAGAATTTTTTTCGTACAAAAGATTTTATCAGATTTAGTTTTGAAGAAGATAATGGCATGTGAAGTTGTGCGATGGTACGATTGGTACGTGCTGTTTCGACTGCGGGAAGTATGATAATAGGATTTGCTGTGTAACAAAAAAAATACATCTTTTTTTTTAATCTAAAATTCTCGTATGAAAAATGTGAATTTGAAAATATATATATATATATATATTTTTAGTTTGAAAAAAAGGGAAGAATATTACATATATATAATGTTTATATACAAGTAAAGAAATGATGTAAAAGTGTATATATTAAAGTGATTATTTAAATTTTCCTCCTATTTAAGTATCAAAAACATCATTTACGTAACATCACTATTTTTTCTGTAGAATTATAGTAAAATTGTTTTAAGTTCCATAGCATGAAGAAATAGTAACGTAATATTAAATTTTGTATAGAATGAAAGAAAAATGGTAAAAATAAAAAATTAGAAAATGGCAAAAAAAAAAAAGTTTTCGTACAATTTAAAGAATATGATTAACTAAAAAAAAACTATCATTAAAATAGACTAGTTACAATGTCATTGTCGTATAACATTTTGAATGTATTTAGAAACAAAAAAAAATTAAACTCAAAACTGAAATCAAATTTTTAAATTTTTATTCTGTTTATTTCTAACAATTTGAGTTTCACAAACCAAATTTTCCAAGTAACTTCATTTTTTAATTATTTAACTTTATTCTGTTTTTTATTTTATATGTGTTGCATCATCGGTTTGTACTTCTCCTTTCAATCAAATATTATTATATTCGATTATTTACAGTTAATAATGTAAATTTTTTACGTATTAAAGAAGATTCGCTATAATTTTTTTTAAAAAAAGTAACTCTGTAAATTAATGGGCGGAATAAAGTATTGTATCAAGACTTTAAATACATAGATGGAAACAAATTGCGATAAAATCTTTGGAACAATTAGATAAACTCAGTGAACCTTTACAGTACGCGCCCAAAAATATTTTTGATTTGTATTATGACATAATTTTTTGTTATCAATAATATAAAAATACAATTAAATGTTTTAAACTTTTTATTGAATTTGTATTATACGTTGATATATGATAGCTTTTAAAACTAACAAAAATTCTAACATAATTTTTGGTCACAAAAAATTTTGTGACTTGAGTCAGAAATCAGTATTAATATTTTGATTCACAAGTTTTTTTTCTATATTGTGTTATGTTGTTTACACGGCTTGACTCTAATGAACTAAAGATTTTTCAGGAAGTGACTGAAGTTGTATAAAGAATTGGATTGAAAACTTGTTCGATGAATAAGATCAAAATGCTGTCGGATTTATTTTCAATTAAATAATTTTGTATATAATCAACAAGTTCCTGGCAGCCAACATAACCTGAATTATCTCACCCATTCAATGGGAGAATACCACCATGAATATATCTAAATTAAAATGTAAATTTTGGATTTGAATATGAATAAAATTTACATACATATATAATACCAGTTAACCAGGGTTAATTAACTAAAATACGTTTATTCCATAAATACCCGACATTGAAAAACAAATATAAAAACCACTGATAAAAAACAAAATTACATGTCTTTTTACATTTCTTAAACTCGTAAAATTTGTACTTTTTTTTTAAACGAAAAAAAAAAAAATTTATAATAATTTATAATAATCATGACACATATTTTTCAAGATTCTCAAAATTTCCAAGGTTATAATGAAAATTTGACCAAACTTATTTCAAGTCCTTTTGAAAATAATAATAATAACGACAATATTGTTACAACTAATCCAAACTTATTTAATGATTCTTTTCACGAAAACGAACCTACTGTTTCTGTTCCTTTAACACATTCTGTTACGCCAAAATTTCAATCAACATCTCGTACGATTTCTCAACAAAAAAATGTTCCATTTATGTATCAAAAATTTCAAAGAATTTCTAATTCTATTTTGATATTTGAAGAAAATGCTAAAAGACAACTTGAACAATTATATGAATTAAAGAATCATTTAAATCAATTGAAACAATTTCTTAACACACAACAACAACATTCTATGCCTCGTCGTATAAACCGTATAAACCGAAACCGTGATTATCGAACTCATCCTTATTTGAATGAACGTCAATTAGTCACTTCTCACATATCAACTGCTACAGAAATTGACTGTCATTATGATAATAATGAATTAAATTTTATGAATGAACAAAATATTTTATCAAATAGTTTTTGTCCTCAACAAGTGAATGTTCCTGCTGCAGTTAGCTTTTCTGAAAATAGTGAAATTTTATCTAGTCCTCAAAATTTTGAATTTTATGACAATAATTATATATAATGTTCATGAAATCTAGAAAATTTGTAAATTTCAATATACTGTATGTTATTAACATTTATATTTTTTTTGTTCACTATATTGCTTATTATTTTATACCTTTATTTTTTATTGTATTTTATTTTGCTCTTTATTATTTTCATTATTGATAAAATAATGGCATGTAGTTACGCTTATATTTAAGTGAATAAAGACAAGTCAGGTGCTGCGCTTGCAGTAAATTTCGATAACGCCAAATATCATTCTAAATTGAGTATTTACAAGTGCTAAAATTAAAAACATTTCATTATATGAACCAAATGAACCTATTATATTCTATTTTAAGTATAAATCCAATTTAAGTATCAAAAGCGGGACAGCAAAAAAAAGAAACGCCCAATTATTACTTTCTATAAAAAATTTCAAGTTTTTAAATATTCCTTCGATTTGTTATAAGATTTTAATCTTGCTCGAAATTTTTCAAGGACATACGGACCAATAAAATTTATTGAAATATTACATCTGTTCAACTTTTCTGAATCGAAAAATAAGTGCGTGACCAAAGTCACGCGGACACGTGATTTGTAACGATATGTACGGCGACGCAAATGAATACAATTTGCTTCCCGCTGTTCCGTACTGGTCGGGTTCTGGGACAGATGGATTTCTCTAGTGAAGGTCCGCTCCATTATGGTTTGGATGAAGTTTTATGTTGCCCGCTTCTTTTATTCTTTGGAATTGTGTAGTGACTTTTCATTGTAATTCTCCTGCTTTACATAAAATAAAATAAAATAAATAAATATAAAATAAATGAATACAAATTGAGATAACGTTTTCTATAATACAGATAAATCAGTGATTTCAGAATCTGTGTCTAGAATAAAGAAAAATTTACATAATGTTTCTTTAAATATCAACGAGAAGGTGGGATTTTAATGATTTCACAGTTTATAAAATATAGATTCTCCCTCATATGCCTTAGTCATTTGGAAGTAGCGTCAAATGGATTGTCACGCTTTTCTTAAAAATTTAGTAATTACACCAAATAAGACTAAATGATAACAATCATTTTCATAGAGTAAAAAAAAAAATAATTTATTGATAATATAATATGTTTCTGATCCATTATTTATGATAAATAAAAAATTAAACTTTCTATAAACATTTAAAAAATTAAAANCACATGCCTTAGTCATTTGGAAGTAGCGTCAAATGGATTGACACGCTTTTCTTAAAAATTTAGTAATTATACACTAAATAAGACTAAATGATAACAATCATTTTCATAGAGTAAAAAAAATAATTTATTGATAATATAATATGTTTCTGATCCATTATTTATGATAAATAAAAAATTAAACTTTCTATAAACATTTAAAAAATTAAAATTAGATATCAAAATCATATTCCTGGGTAATATATTCTGCAAATATAAATTAAGAACGTTAGGTTAAAATTCAATATTAAAAAATTACTATAGTCAGTATATATTTACATACCATCAGTACTTAATTTCATATCAATATCTAATTCGATGAATTTTGTAAAATAATCTAAAGAAAAATTATACGTTAATTTTTAATTTTAATTAAATCAAGTTATGAAATTTGTTATATTATCAAAAAAATTATTACCATTATTTTCATTTTCATACAATTTTTTTCTTTTAATACTTTGACCTAAATAAATTTTAATTAATAAATATTGACACCCTAAAATCTTATTAAATAAAATCATACCTCATCATTATTATCTTCAAACTTTCTTTTGACTTTTTCTAAGTTAATAGATTGACTTCTTGAACTCCTTAAAGACATTGCAGAATTAATCATACTACTTAAATGTCTACTCTCATAAATAGCACCTGGATTATTTGTTGCTACAGGTCCATTATCTGATGATTCTATAATTTTAGTTGGATTCTGATTTTTACTATTTTGTTCTTCATTTCTAACCAATATACAAATTCTTTTATATATATCATTGGATGTCGGTCTTTAACATGGATCAGAATACCAACATTCTTTCATTAATTCAATATATCCTTCAGGTGCATTTGTTACGATTGGTGGTCGCAATCCATCACGTATTTTAGTTATAAGGTTTGTATCATGATGTTCATCCCAAAAAGGTCTTCTAC